CTTGACTCTGTCCTCCTCTTCTGCCCCTTCCTCCTCCTGCGCGTGCTCTGGAAACAGTGGCGTTAATTCCGCAGTTTCAGGTTGGAGTCTGAGGACCCATGGGAGGTAGTCTCAGCAATTTGACTGTTTGTACAAGAATTTCTAAAAACTTTGGGGTTTTGTGCTAATTAGAATAATAACCAATAAGTGGATGATCTGGTTGGCCACCTTATAACTGAGTGTGTGTATGTAGTATTTCAGTGCCTATGTTTGTGTTGCTTGTACATGTAAATGACTTTTGGTTCATGATGTACAAGCGCCCAGAGTGTGAGGCATTTTATATCTAGCTGAAAGTTGGCTTGTGTATACTTAAGTGGGTTGAAAATTGTTATCCCTAGGGTATCTATACTAACAGTTTGCTATTTAAAGAAGGTCTGTGTATTAACTAATTCCCAGAAACTCTTCTTTCCTGGGCTTCTAAATAATGTCCAAGAAAAATGACGTACGATTTAACATATTTCAGCATAAGTTTTGAGCACTGATTTTGTGCCAAGCACTTATAGGTCCTGTCACTGAAGACACAGGAAAGATTGTGTTCTTGGCGCTTAGAACCCATCAGGGCAGATTATTACCAGGTAGTTTCAGGTGAGATGAGTGTTAGAAATGTGCCTTTATAGATCAGGGTGTCCAGGACCTGCTGGGTCTCAGCACCGCTCCATAATCCTGTTGCATCGTCTTGATTTTCTTCTGTCTGCCAACTCCCCTCCCCTTTCTCCCAGCACCTGTCCTTGCTTCCTATTTCAGGAAGAAACAAGCTGTCAGGCCTGACCTCGCTCAGCTTCTCACCCCCCTGCCCTGACTTAGAGAAAGATGCTGCACCTCTCTTCAGGGAAGTGAGCCCCTTGTGCTCCATCCCTCTTTACTCCAAGGAGCCTGGCTCTGGCACTCTTTCCCTTCTTCTCTTACTTAGGTCTGCCTTCAGCTCTCCTCTCTGTCCAAGTATTCTTCAGTCTCATCCATCTTCAGAATTTCATTGCCGCCCACAACTCTTGGGTTTGTGTCTCTAGCCCTGAAATCCTGAAAGCCACACCTGTAGGTCTTAACTTCCCACTTAATATCTTTCCTCGGTTTCACACCGGCATTTCACAATCACATTTCTAAATCAAAATCAGTATTTTCTCCCCTAACTCCATTCTCTCTGTCTTCCTTATTTGAAAGTGGTGATCCTTTCTCTAGCCGTTCCTTACCTAAGCAGCCGTCTTCCTTACCTAAGCAGCCTCAGATCCCTCCAAGCCGTTGTTACTCTGAAGCCTTGGCAGTATGCTCTGTAGCTGTCCTATAGCTTGTGTCTTGCCATTCATCCTCTGCCCCACTGGCTTTCTGTCACATATATGTTGTCGTGTTACTACCCTGAGCTATTTTTTCCCAGCTTCCTTGGTACATGTAGCATAGAATCTAAACTCTTAGCATGAATGGCATTTAAGACTCTCTGTAACCTTCCTGTAACCTCCTGCCTTGTTGGTCTTGGTCTCTGTTATTTCTAGCTTATAGTCAAAAATACTTAAGTACTTTAAGGTTTTTTTTTTTTTAGCTCTATGACATTTTAAGATTGTAACATAATGTAATTTCTTATTGTAGAAAATTATGGGGATAAAATAATCACTCACCCCACTGACCAGATTTAACTACAAGTAATGCTTAAGTACATTTTTTCTGTAAAGTTAGACCAAGTCAATTCCAGTTTGTGGAGAGAGAGAGAAGTCACCCAAACATGTCTGTTTAGTAGTGAGATGGGAAAGAAGTTACTGCAGTTCTTGTCATGACTCTGGCCTTGACGTGCGGACCTCTGGCCTGGGGTGTTTGTCTGCAGGGCTGGCTGCGGTTCCAGCCTCCCGGAAGCCTCGGAACTCGTCCTGGCAGGTTGTGACATCCTCAGTGCACGTTGCTTATCTTACTTACAGAAACCATCGCGTCATATTATAGTTATTTGTAATTTTTGTCTTTGAAAATTTTGTCAAGGAAAATTCCTTGAGACAGAAATCTTTGTAACTCCACTAGGGCACAGAACCTGGCAGAATTTTCCAAGGAAGCTCTTCCAGGAGGAGGGGAGGAACTAGTAAAGTCGGTGGGAATAGAGCATGCTACGGAAGAACGGTGAGGTGCAGTCAGTGACGCTGTGTGCGTTCTGTCGGTGGTAACTGATGTGTCTCCAGGAGGCAGACACCAGTTACACAGGTGGAGGAGGAGCTAGAGACCCGGGTTCACGGCTCTTTCTAGACCTTTGCTCACGAAGAGGAGGAGAGTCAGGGTTAGGACAGGACCTGAAGGCCTCTCTCACTGGGGGCCCCTCCTCGGGAGCTGTTCTTGTGGGGAGACTCCTCAGGGCGCCTCTCTCAGCCTGAGAGTCAGCGGGGAGACTGGTAGGTAGTCACCGGCCCTATCTCCAGAGATGGGGGTTTTCAGGCCTGGGGTGCTCCCCGGACCTCATGCTGACCGGTGTTGCCTCGGGGCATCTGGAAGTCTCGGGAGCTCTCGGGCCGTCCTGCCCCCGCCTCCCCTCGCCCCGCTGCCTCTTCACCACCCCTCTTGTCAGGGCCACTCCTCACTGCTCTATCTCAGCTGTGTGGCCCTTGTGACTTTCCTTATCCCTGGCAGCTGCCTTCTTCCGCCCCCTGTGGCTGCTCCCTTTCCTGGGGAGGAAGCCCGGCCTCTGCAGGCCTGGAGGCCGCCCTGGGAAAGCACCGCTGGTCCCGAGCTGCCCTCCTCCTGCTGCTCGTGCCACCCTGCACCCTGCGCTGTCTGCTCTGGGGTCGGAGCTCTTTAGAGGCGAGAGGGCTTCAGAAGGCTGAGCTTCAGCTTGTCAAGGTTTATAGAGGAAAAGACAGCGGCGTTAGGTAGTATTTTAAAGCCATGGGACCTAAGAATGTCAGGAAATATTTTCTGCTACCTAGTAACTTTATCTGAGTGGTCTTCTATGAGTTGTATGACATTTTAAAGGTTTTCCAAGGTAGTCTCCTGGTCCTAAAAGTGATCCAGGTTGTATTCTGAAGACCCATGGATCAGAGTCCATATATGGACCAGATATTTGTTCTGTTCCCTTTGTGTGGAAACTGCTCAGACGCTCCATTCATCACAGTCAGGCATTTCTTCGGGTGTCTTACTGTCCAGGGCCTTTTAGTCATAACTTTGGAATTGATAACATTATTTGAACTGCTCAGAATCATAGTCCGCGTGGATTTATTACACATTGAACCTTTTATTCAGGCCTTAAAAGGTGAACCGTCAGTGACCCTCAGCTTCATTTGGGCTTCTGGATGTGTAAGCAAAACTGGGACATAACAGAACTGGCTGTTCTGAGCTTGGTTGCAAAGTGGATAACTGTGCGAGTTATTCATGCTGCTTTTCTCTGGAAAACCAGAAAATGCAAGCAGCATTTGGCAGCAGAGGAAACCCAAGGATCCCAGAGTAGAACTTTTAAGCGTTTTTCTGGAGCTGTGGTATTGTATCCTGGAACAAAAGCCCCTGAAAAATAAGGGTTTTTAAAGGAATTTTTTTTTCCTTATTAAAGGAAATTTACCAAGAAAGAAAAAAATTCCACACAGTTACCCTACCATATTGTTTTTAGTAAGAAAGTGAAATGAAGAATATACTAGAACAATTTAAAAACAAATGAACCCATTGTCTTCATATTATGCTTATAACACTGTCATCTCCAGGACTCTGGTTACTTTATATGTTTATATACTGTTATTTTTACATACCTGTCATCTTAAATGTGTTCTTCGCATTCAGAAATTATTCTGTAAATCTTGTGATGTTGCTGCATTTTGTTCTTTTGACTCCAGTAGTCCATGAAGTTGGTTCAGTTAGCCCTTTGCTCATTGTGCCTCTTGGGTAGAGGACATTGGCATTTTTGACTGTTATCAACTTGCTAGAGTTCTGTACTGAAAGTGTTGTGCATATATATCACCTTTGATATTTTAAATTATTTCCTTTGGATGAGTTTCTAGTAGTTAGTTTACTAAGCCAGAGGGCAGAAACATTTTTAATGGTTTTTGATATAGATTGTTAAATTATTTCCCCCAAATTGTATCAACTTACAGAGGCATCTCTGGTTTCTCTTACCCACCTGCAATAAGTTTTTATTAAGTTTTGTTGGGTTAAAAAAAACTTTTTTTTTTTACCTGCTAGGTTACCTTATATTGCTTTAATTTATATTTCTTTGATAAATAGTAAAGCTGATCTTTGTTCAAGGGCATGTTATATTTGCTTTCGGGTTTTTTTGCTTTCTTGTGGAAGGGGCAGATGTTACTAGAGTGCAGTCCAAGAGCAGTGACCAGTTAGAGTTAGTGACCTGTGACTTTAGCTGTGTTTAACCAACTCTGGTAAGATGTAGATTAAGGTTGTGAAAAACTTTAATTCGTATGTTTATAGATCTAGAAACTGTAGATAGTAGATCTATAAACTGTAGGCAACTGAATATTTTACAGATTTCATGCATAGAAGTTGATTTTCTTAAAAAGGAAATCGTTACAGGACATCAGACACAAAAACTGAATTGGGGGCTTGTGCAAGATGTTGGTCTTACTCTTACAAGAAAAAGATTGAAACCTTGTAAGCAAGCTGGTGACATGATCAGGATTCTGACAGGCTCAGTCACACTCACAATTCAGTGTTGAGATAACTGAGGCATTGGGATATGCCCGATTGGCCACTTCGGAGTCACAGGAGGTAACAGATTCCATGGTACAGAGATTTAATACATAGCTTTTAGGTGTAAGGATGCTTGACATTTTTTTCCTGAGCACTGTTAATTAAATATTAAACTATATTTGATTTGGAGAAAAGCAAGAGTGGATTCTGGGAACCTGGGGGGAGAGGAGGAGGGTGAGTACAGAGAAGGGTTGGGGAAAAAGATGTATTATGTTTATAAATCAGAAAATCAGGTGAATGGGAATGATTATGCTTAATATGTTAACCCTTTTTTTAAAAAATGTAACATTGTACGTTTTATATTTCAGATGAATTTACAACTGATTTTCTGGATCGGATTGATTAGTTCAGTTTGCTGTGTGTTTGGCCAAGCAGGTAAAAACAAAGTTGCCTACTTGTCTGTTCAGTATCTTGTATCACTTTTTGACCACTTAGAGTCCTGGGAAAACCTAAGTCCGGCGGTCCTGCTCCTTCTCCTTCGGAAGGCCTTGCCGCGGCCCCGCCTCTCCCAGAGTCAGGGCGGGGCTCCTTCCAGGGCCTGCCAGGCCCTTTGACAGGTTCCCCACCCGCCACCCAGAGTGACGACAGGAATCGAATGTACCACAGAGAGATCTTTGGGGGGTATAATAGAGTGTGTCAGTGAACACAGAAAGCAAAGGCGCATGACATCTTTAGAAGGAAATAAAGTAAATGTGTAGAAGAATAGATTATGAACTATCCACTACTGTCTGAAAAAATGAAAGGAGGAACAGTTGGTTTTCCAAAAGATGTTCTTGCTGTTTGATCAGAAGTCTTGCAAAAAGTTGGTGTTGTATAGAAGAGGAATGAAAAAATAGAGCTGAAAATATATTTAATCTTGTTATAAACCATGGTGCACCCAAATCTAGAATAATGGATGTCCAATTTTTTTGTTCTCCAAATCTCAGAAAATACACTGCATAGAACAGCTATTTGATACTAGAGATAAGGGAAGTTATTAATAAATTTAAATTACATAAGACCAACAGTAACATAAAAAACCAAATTATCTGTATGTCAAAACACCAAAAAATGAGAAGCTAAATAAGAGTTTAATTTCACTCACAAGTGTAGAGATCCATTAAAAACAATTAAAAACATGATGATAGAAAACTTTGCAAAAGAAAAACAGAAAATTTACAAAATAAATGGCCAGGAAAAATATGAAAAAAAAAAGGAAGCCTTAAATAACCAACAGTTGATGTTCTTATTTATACATGTTAAATGAAAAGAAAATCTTTGCATTAAAAAAGGGAATATGGTGTGTGTACATTGCTTGTGAAGATGTGTGTTTGAATGTTATTGCTGGAGAGAGGTTAAAAGTTAATTCTTTAACCTCAGTGTTTGTTTTTTTTTTAATTTGTGATAAGGAAATTGAGTTTTACATGATAAGAATGGTCATCTGAGTGGGTTCATGGATGTGCACGTATGTGTGTATGTGTCGGGTTTATGGCCCACATGAACCATGCAATTAAAAATAATAGAAATTTTCCCATTCTGTAGGCTACATTAATACAGTGGCATATTTAAAGCCATGTTTTTGAAGAATTTGGAATGAAACAATTAAGTATAAAAAGTAGTATACAAAATGTATGTCCTCAATTTCATTTAAGTAATGTCTGCATGCTTCCTTGCTATTTTTTGATTTTTCTGCATAGACAAAAGACTGGGAAAAATATACAAAAAATGTATTTTCTAATGAGCAGGTTTTGGGTGATTTTTAGTTCTTTATGCTTTTACGTATTTTCCAAATTTTCTATAATGAGCGTGTGTTGGGTTTATAATCAGAAAACATACATTGGAGACAGTCCATGTTAGTGTGTACTACATGGCTGACATGCTGATTCTTACATGAATTTAAAGAAATACATGACATACTTTGAACACCGACCTGAAAAATCAAGTTGTTATGGATAGGATGGATATGGACTTTTCAAGTATTTACCAAACTAAAAAGAAGCAGCCTGGTTGGAGCGGAGGGAGTATGGGTATGGTGGTATGAGTTAAGTGAAAAGAAATAACACTACCCAGTGGTAAGAAAACTCTTGACAATTATGACCAACTTGAGAGAGCCTGGAATTATACCTTTGGGGGAAAAAAAGGGACAAATGTATTGATGAAGGGTACCTAGTCTTTGCTGTAGAAGATAGGAAAGATAACTGTCTTTTTATTGTTCTCTGTGCCAGGATGATCCAAAATCACCTCTCTTTAGTGGGTAGGTCTGAGTCAGTTTAGTAACTAACTTCATAGTATTTCTGTGTCATGTTCATATATATTGTCATTGTGATCCTGATCTTTCATTGTTTTCTCTCTTGAACTTAAGTAGCCTAATTTTTCTTTTTCCTGACAGATGAAAATAGATGTTTGAAAGCAAATGCCAAATCATGTGGGGAGTGTATACAAGCAGGGCCAAATTGTGGATGGTGCACAAATTCAGTAAGTCAGATTGATTGTTCAAGCCTTTCCATTCATTCCTCATCACTTAGTGTTGCTCGAAACTGTACCCTTGAGAAGTGCTTGGTGTGACTTCTCACTCACTCAGTGTTGGCTGAACGGGAGTCGGCTCTGTGTGTGACCCTGTGTGGTGGTCTGGAGCCTTGCTGCCCCGCACCGGGCCCACTAGGCGTGTGTGGCGACGTTGAGCACCTGAGAACTGCTGTCAGCCTTCATACATGCCAGAGATCAAGGACTTGGCGGTTTAAAATGTCATTCAGGTTGAAATGTTCATATTTTTCATGTATTAATTTTCCCTGTTTTTCCCCCTCAGTGTGGCTATTAGACAACTTAAAAATACATACGTAGCTCACTTTCGTAGCGTGCATTATGTTTTGTAGCCATCTCACTGAACTCTTTTAGATTTTCCCTTTTTTATGATGGGAAAGGTATAATTAATCTGCCTAATTGTATGTTAATTAAACTAATATACACTTGATTTATATCCTAATAAAAGCCCATTGAGGTTAGGGTTTAAATTTTATTTTTTGTCATCTCTATATATTGCTTAACATGGCACCTTCCGCAAGTTTAGTAAGTGTTGAATGAATGAATGGACAATGAACATTAAGTTGGAACTGGAGGTAAAGAGGAGTCATTTTGAGGATATGTAATTTATTTACAGAGTGAATAATATCAGAAGGTTGAAGGCTTATTGTTTGTTTTTACTCAGGCACCTGCGTAAAAACCCCACATTCAAATGCCTGCATTGTGGCCATTACTGGTCATGTATCAGATGTTTCATATTATTTGACCTGAAAGACAAAATGAGAAGTTTTTGTTCTGTTATTTCAAAATTTTTCTACTGGCAACTTTCTCTTCTTCAAAAAACAGTGTTCTGGAATTAAGTTGGAGACAGTGGAGGAGACAGGGAGTGCCTTGAGTTTGTCTCAGACAAGGCTTACTTAACTGAAAGCTCAGGTTTTCTTACCTGGAAATTGAGCATGAGCTGCCTCCTTTGTGTTGGCACAAGAATTGGAGAAACTTAGCAGTTTCACTTAGATGATCGTAAGTGAGTGGTCCTTGCTGTTCCCAACAGTAGCATTCATTTTATGACAGTTATAGTTTACCTGGGGTTTACAGTTACCCTAGCCAAACTATTCTTTTAATAATTTAGCCTTTGATCTTTGTGGTTCAGTTCTTAAATTATTAAAGGTATTTTGGGATATGTGTACTTGAGTTCTGTGATCTGAATTTCCTGGATTGGTTAATATTTGGAGATGGATGGTGCACTGGGCCTGTCCTTTGGCAGCTTTTAGGTTTGATCATACATGAAGGGAGGGCAGCTTTGAACTTTGAACCATCAGACCTATGGCATTCCAGTTGTTTTTCCAAGTACAAAAAGGCTCTCATTTAGTGTTACGTTTCCCTTAAAAGAATAACTGATCCAAACTATCGTGTATTCTTTTTTATGAATATCCTCACTTTATGCAGCACCATGAAATCGATAGATAATAAATACCATATAAAACTGAATACAAAGTGACCCTAAATGAAAGGCATTTCCTCGTTTTTCTAATGAAAAGATGTTAAAAAAAGACTTTTGGCCAGCTAAACAATTTTTAGGGGTATATGTGAAATAATTAAATGGCTATTATAAGTACACATTTAAAAATGATATGCACAAATATACATGTATACACTGTTGTTGTTCCCCTTTCTCATACTTATGAAAAACTTATTTAGAATCTTTACATCTTAGGGCTTCCCAGGTGGCACAGTGGTAAAGAATCCACATGCCAATGCAGGAGTTGAAAGAGATGTGGGTTTGATCTCTGGATCTGGAAGATCCCTTGGAGTAGGAAATGGTGACCCACTCCAGTATTCTTGCCTGGGAAATCCAATGGATAGAGGAGCCTGGTTGGCTGCAGTCCATGGGGTCGCAAAGAGTTGGACATGAGTGAGTGCACGCATATGTGCACACACACACACACACACATTTTTTTTTCCTTTATTTTTTTATTAGTTGGAGGCTAATTACTTTACAGTATTGTATTGGTTTTTGCCATACACTGACATGAATCAGCCATGGATTTACATGTGTTCCCCATCCTGAACCCCGCTCCCACCACACACACACACACACACACACACACACACACACACACATTTTAACAGCAGTTTTTTGCTTTCACTAAAAGTACTTCTGAGTTATCTGATAAAAATAACACATTTAAAAAAAAATGGTAGTAATGAATATTTATTAGCTGCTGTTTATTTTCCAAGTACAGAAAAGATCCTGGATGCATTATATTAATGCATTTCTAACACACCTTCCTATTATAAACAAGAATATATTTTGTAGCTATTTCTGTTACTTAAAAATTGTAACTCTTTTTTGTTCTCTGATTCTTTTGGCAAGCATTCTTTTTTTTTTTTAAATTGAGATGTTGATGTATCATATAAATTTCAGGCGTACAACATAGTCACAATTTTTAAAGGTTATATTTGATTTGTAGTTATTATAAAATATTGGAAAAAAGTAAAAGTATTGGCTGTATTCCCTGTGCTGTACAGTATATCCTTCTTTTAATTGGAGGATAATTGCTTTACAGTGCTGTCTTACTTTCCGCTGTACCACAGCATGAATCAGCTACATGTGCACATACGCCCCCTCCCTCTGACACCTCCTCCCACCCCCTCCCACCCCACAGGTCCTCACAGCGCCTTGCTGAGCGCTCTGTTGTGCGGCGGCTTCCGCGAGCTGGTTCACACATGGTGGAGGGTCTGTGCCAGGGCCACCCTCCCAGTCCATCCACGCTCTCTCCCCCTCCCCTCTGTCCACATCTCCGTTTTCCGCGTCTGCATCTCTGCTCTTGGAAATAGGGTTATCTGTACCACTTTTCTAGATTCCACATAAAACCCATTTTAAAATCATGTCACTACTGGAAGTTTTACCCCACACCACAAGTACCATTTACATAGCATTACAACTTTTTGTTTTTAAAAATTCACCCAGTGGAAATATATTCTGACCCTGTTATAAAATCATTTGCTTTTTTTTTTTTTTTAAGTAAATTCTAAAAGGCTTTTTCCTAATAATAGCCAATAGTTTTTTTTTTTTTTTTTTTAAACTTCCAAGAATACTTACTAAATCTGTGGTAAATTTCTTGGTCTCCTTTTTAAAAAAGGTTTTGGGCTCATATGTTTTCCCTAGTATTGAGTTATTCAAAATATCATGAAGGAAAATGCTATCTAATATGAAAGACTTCTAAGAATTTTTCTAAGGGAAATTTTGGGAAGAGTATTTGTCTGTCATTTGGGCATGTTCATTATTAATGATTCTTAACCCTGCTGAATAATTTCACAAAAAAATTTTCTTTGATACTCTGAATTTGAACATGAAACAGTTAAAATATACACTTAAGTCCTACTAAATATTTCTAAAATAATATAGTACTAGTTATATATTAGTAATAAACATACTACCTTCAAGGAGAAATGTTTTTGTTTTGTTTATTATGGTTTGGATGAAGGGAACAACATTTTGCTTAAAACCAGAAGTACATTAGACATGTTACCTGATTTTTGCAATTTAATTGGTTATTTGCAATTATTTAAAAGGTTTGACCATTTTATACCATATTTATACCTATATTTTACATGTCATTTAGACATTTTTACAAGAAGGTATGCCTACATCTGCTCGATGTGATGATTTAGAAGCCTTAAAAAAGAAGGGCTGTCATCCAAATGACATTGAAAATCCCAGAGGCTCCAAAGATATAAAGAAAAATAAAAATGTAACGAACCGAAGCAAAGGAACAGCAGAGAAGCTGCAGCCAGAAGATATCACTCAAATCCAGCCACAGCAGTTGGTTCTGCAGTTACGATCAGGTGTGGAAATCTGACTCTAGGAGTGCCTTTGGGTCCACTTGAGCTTCCAGACAACGTTATATAAGTTTCTGTTGAGAAATGTTGAGTATGTTAACTTTTAGAAATGTTTTGAATTTTTTTCAGATATAATTTGTCAGACCATGTACCTGACCTGTTGCCTAATGTCCACAGTAAATTCTGTTAAAGATTCAGAAAGTAGTATTAATAGATTTAGTGGGCTTTTCAAAAATAAAAATACCCATCTTCTGGTGTAACTATATAACATAAAGATAACATTTTAATCTATTTTCTCCTTTGTTTTTGTACACTACTATTAAATAAAATATTAAGGTTTTCATAAGAATCTGCCATAGCCCTGCATCTGGAAAAAAGAAAAAATATGCCCTGTTCTCTTCCGATCTCCAGCCCCTTCCACTCAGAGGACTCACTTGTGCCCTCCCCACTCCTTCCCCTGTTACAGCCCTCTCTTCAGCCTGGTGCCTCTAGACCTGCTCTGGCCAACCTCCGCTGGCACCTGAAACCGCCAGGCCCGATGGACCCTCGTCAGGCCTTTTTATTCCTTTATTTAACTCTTCTGTACAAATGATGCCTTTGAGCTTCTCTAAATGTTCTCTTTTTGGCTTCTGCGATAACACTCCTGCTTTCCTTCTTATCTCTTACCAGTACCTTCCAATCTTCTTTCTGTGCCTTTTCTCTTCCTTCCTCTTTGTAGTCCGCTTAACTGTTGGCTTTCCTCTCATGGCTTTGAAACCCTTTGTGTGCTGCAACACAGACTTTTTTCCTCTAAAGCTCCAAACACAGTTGTCCAGCTGCCTACTAGAAATCTATATAGAGAAAATTTGCAAGTTAAAAACTAAATGACCTTTCTACTCGTGTATTTTCTGAGTCTTTTTCAACTCATACCTCTGGTACATCTCTTCTGTGTCCTTATTGGTTTCATATCTTTATCCTCTTTTTTTTTTCCCCCCTATAATTTCTTAACAAGAGAAGTTTGTCTCTTTAATCATCTTTAAAACTTCTCATCAGGTTTTCTTAAGTGAAAATCAGATTACTTTATTCACTGCACATAGTGCATCCCATAGACTAGAGAAGAGTCTTCACTTGACAGCGTCAGTCTCTAAAACGTCCGGTGTACCCTGCCTCACCCACCCCATCTAGTTTGTGTTGTTCCCTATCTGTTTTCCTTTGTCGTAGTTAGCAACCCACTATTTGCCTGTCTTGCCCACTGTAGATTGGGAATGCTGTCTTTTTCATCATTCCTGGGGCCTGGCATTTTAAGTATTTGTGAATAAAAAGAGTACACAGCCATTGATTGAATTACCTATGGAATGCCCTGGTTTTTGTAAAAACTATGAATAATATGGTTTATTCTATAGTGTTGACCTTATCAGTCTGATTTACTTGTCTTTTCCATTTGCTTTTGATTGCTGGTGAGCTAGTTTTCTAATCTCATTAATTAGGGGAGCCACAGACATTTACACTAAAATTCAAGCGGGCTGAAGACTACCCCATCGATCTCTACTACCTCATGGACCTCTCCTACTCCATGAAAGACGACTTGGAGAATGTGAAAAGTCTGGGGACAGACTTGATGAATGAAATGAGGAGGATCACTTCAGACTTCCGAATTGGTAGGGATTTTGAGAAAGTTAATAATTTTCATTTGTGTAAATCTTGGCAGTTTTATTCTTCACTACATACATGTGAGATTAGGACGCTGGATTTTAGGTTTTTCTTTCTGAGAGGACTGATACTCCTGTCACATTGCTAATGATTTTTCTGCCTCCTTGTTCCTCTTGTTACTATACAAAAGAAAGAGTCAGTCATGTTTGACTCTTTGTGACCTGTGGGCTGTAGCCCGCCAGGCTCCTCTGTCATGAAATTTCCCAGGCAAGAATACTGGAGTGAGTTCCCATTCCCTTCTCCAGGGGATCGTCCCGACCCAAGGATGGAGCCTGGATCTCATGGATTGCAGGCAGATTCTTTGCCATCTGAGCTGCCAGGGAAGCCCTTCTTACTACAGACTGCCATGTTACTTGACACACATCACACCACATAGATAATAAACTGCATGTTTGTTGTTACAGGAATTTATTCATTCATTTGCTGGTCTTATAAACAATGTTGATTACTTAACTTGATTTTTTTTAATGCAGTTTAACCATCCACCCTCCATCATCACTGCATGTGTATTTCCCTCCACAGGGTTTGGCTCTTTCGTGGAGAAAACTGTGATGCCTTACATTAGCACAACACCAGCTAAACTCAGGAACCCTTGCACAAATGAACAGAACTGCACGAGCCCATTTAGCTACAAAAATGTGCTCAGTCTTACTGATAAAGGGGAAGTATTTAATGAACTTGTCGGCAAGCAGCGCATATCTGGAAATTTGGATTCACCAGAAGGTGGCTTTGATGCAATCATGCAAGTTGCAGTTTGTGGAGTGAGTGCATTCATTCTCTACAAGGGGATATTATTTGTGTGGATCTTAAGTGTGATTTTTCTGTCAGAAAATATTACCTTAATTTCTATATCATACTGATAAATCCCTTAAATTCCCTCCCAACTGCGAGTGGTTTAAAAAAAAGCATAGTTAATCCGGATTTTGAAAGCCAAAATGCTCGCCATTTGAACCAGTGGGGCAATGTAGCTTTAGCTGGTGTTCTGGGTTTTTTAAAGAGGCTCAGGGTACCCTGGCTTTCCAGCTTTGTGACAGAGATGGTATTGGGGTTATCTGAGACGTCACCAGGAACATTAAAGATGCTGAAATAGATGGTGTGTCAGACACCATTTTCCTTTGGTTAGTTTTCTTCTGCTTATCTTTTGAGAGTCATCTTCCCCATGTCTTAGTAATTTAAAAAGAAAGTTTTAAGTCTTAATTTGAAAGCTATATGAGAATAGATATTCTGAGAAGTCATATAATGTTTGTAATTTTAATTACAAGATTTTCAGTGATTTTTTGTCCTCCATTGGACTGGTGGTTAGAATTTTTTGAGCCAATTACCAGCTGAAAATTTTAGGTGACCTCTTAATGATGTCGCTGAGGACGGAAGTAGGAAACATTGTGAGCTAGATGAAGTTTTATCTGTCTCATTTCCCCCCCCCCCCGCCCTTTTCCTTATAGTACCCCTGTGCCCTAAAAGACCTTTCTCTTCCAGATGCTTCTTAATGGTTACTCAACCAAGTTTTAGTATGCTATTTGATACCCAAGATGATAATAATATAATATAGTGCTTGAGATAACAGTCTTTAGAATGTTAGGACAAAGCTTCAAATGTTCCCATCACTGCTCATCCACTAGGCAGTTTCCTTGCCATTGTAGAGGGCTGTTTCCTTCTCCTAAAGAGATAATAACAGATAGACCTTAGGAAGTTTAAATATGGTAATCCATAGATAGTGCAAGTAGCCAGCAAACAGTTAACAACTATTGTGGTCACTCTTGACTTGCACCAGGGTAGATGCAGGTTAAGGATAGTCTCCACTTTTAAAGGGGAAGAGAAGTTTTCCAGGCGGTGCCTAGCTTGATGCCTGTTTCCTCTCCAGCCATTCATTTGTGATCCCACTAGAAGCTCATATGGAGAAAGCATTCTCTGTGCTGTCTCTGCCTGAACCTCAGCCTCAAGATTAAAACAGGCCATGGTATCCTGGCCGTTGCTCTCTGCTCCCTGTGCTGACTGAGAGTAAGCTGTTCCACTTACTTCTCTAAATGCAGAAGAGACAGATATTCCAACTGGTCTGCCAGCATGAATAAACTTAATTCCTGCCTTCAACGATTTTATAGTTTTAGGAGGATATATACAGATGTACGGAATAAATTACAGATTATTATAAAATTACCATTCAAGAGCATTTTACCACTACTTTAAATTTTTTGCTGAATAAGGTGGAGAATAAATAAATGAACAAACAGTACTGATGGATTAAAGGGTGGAATTAAGCAGAGTCAAGTCTTTGAAGAAGATCCTTTTTTCTAGAATTAAAAAGGCTTTTTAAATATGGTGGCTGATAAAAGGGAGTACATGCTCCAGAAGGTGGAGTAGGTATGGGTGGGAAGGGGAGGTAACAGTGTTTAGATTCAAAGTTGGGTGTGGGCTGAGACATTGTTTATTCATTAAGCACCTATTAGTGCTACACGAACTACGGACAGAGGTTCGTGACACTGTACAGGAGACAGGGATCAAGACCATCCCCATGGAAAAGAAATGCAAAAAAGCAAAATGGTTGTCTGAGGACACCTTACAAATAACTGAAAAGAAGAGAAGCCAAAAGCAAAGGAGAAAAGGAAAGATTTCCATTTGAATGCAGAGTTCCAAAGAATAGCAAGGAGCCATAAGAAAGCCTTCCTCAGCGATCAATGCAAAGAAATAGAGGAAAACAATAGAATGGGAAAGACTAGAGATCTCTTCACGAACATTAGAGATACCAAGGGAACATTTCAGGCAAAAATGGGCTCAATAAAGGACAGAAATAGTGTGGACCTAACAGAAGCAGAAGATATTAAGAAGAGGTGGCAAGAATACACTGAAGAACTGTACAAAAAAGATCTTCACGACCCAGATAATCACAATGGTGTGATCACTCACCTCGAGCCAGACATCCTGGAATGGAAAGTCAACAGGGCCTTAGGAAGCATCACTATGAACAAAGCTAGTGGAGGTGTTGTTGAGCTATTTCAAATTCTGAAAGATGATGCTGTGAAAGTGCTGCACTCAATATGCCAGTAAATTTGGGAAATTCAGCAGTGGCCACAGGACTGGAAAAGGTCAGTTTTCATTCCAATCCCTAAGAAAGGCAATGCCAAAGAATGCTCAAACTACTGCACAGTTGCACTCATCTCACATGGTAGTAAAGTAATGCTCAAAATTCTCCAAGCCAGGCTTCAGCATTACGTGAACTGAGAACTTCCAGATGTTCAAGCTGGTTTTAGAAAAGGCAGAGGAACCAGAGATTAAATTGCCAACATCCACTGGATCATCGAAAAAGCAGGAGAGTTCCAGAAAAACATCTATTTCTGTTTTATTGACTATGCCAAGGCCTTTGACTCTGTGGATCACAATAAACGGTGGATAATTCTGAAAGAGATGGGAATGCCAGACCACCTGACCTGCCTCTTGAGAAACCTATATGCAGGTAAGGAAGCAACAGTTAGAACTGGACATGGAACAACAGACTGGTTCCAAATAGGACAAGGAGTACGTCAAGGCTGTATATTGTCACCCTGCTTATTTAACTTATATGCAGAGTACATCATGAGAAGCGCTGGGCTGGATGAAGCAGAAGCTGGAATCAAGATTGCCGGGAGAAATATCAATAACCTCAGATATGTAGATGACACCACCCTTATGGCAGAAAGTGAAGGAGAACTAAAGAGCCTCTTGATGAAAGTGAAAGAGGAGAGTGGAAAAGTTGGCTTAAAGCTTAACATTCAGAAAACTAAGATCATGGCATCTGGTCCCATCACTTCATGGCAAATAGATGGGCAAACAGTGGAAATAGTGTCTGACTATTTTTTGGGGCTCCAAAATCACTGCAGATGGTGATTGCAGCCATGAAATTGAAAGACGCTTATTCCTTGGAAGGAAAGTTATGACCAACCTATATAGCATATTAAAAAGCAGAGACATTACTTTGCCAACAAAGGTCCATCTAGTCAAGGCTATGGTTTTTCCAGTGGTCATGTATGGATGTGAGAGTTGGACGGTGAAGAAAGCTAAGCACAGAAGAATTGATGCTTTTGAACTGTGGTGTTGGAGAAGACTCTTGAGAGTCCCTTAGACTGCAAGGAAATCCAACCAGTCCATCCTAAAGGAGATCAGTCCTGGGTGTTCATTGGAAGGACTGATGCTGAAGCCGAAACTCCAATACTTTGGCCACCTCATGCGAAGAGTTGACTCATTGGAAAAGACCCTGATGCTGGGAGGGATTGGGTGCAGGAGGAGAAGGGGACGACAGAGGATGAGAAGGCTGGATGGAATCACTGACTCGATGGACATGAGTTTGAGTAAACTCTGGGAGTTGGTGATGGACAGGGAGGCCTGGCATGCTGCGATTCATGGGGTTGCAAAGAGTCGGACACGACTGAGCAACTGAACTGAACTGAACAGCGCTACTACTGGAGATAAGATGATGCACGAAACCAGATGTGGTCCCAGCCATGTGGAGTGGAGCTACCTTGTAGTGGGGAGAGGGACACTAACTTTAAAAGGTAGTTTTTAAAAACAGAGCTGAGAGAGACAGCTAGGCAAGGTGAAGTGTTACAGTGAGGCGGGGGAGTTTTATTCAGTGCGCTCTGTGCCTTTATCAGCAAGGATGTTATTAGCATTGTGAAAAGAGAAAATACAGAATTAAGTTGAAAGTATAGTGGTAGCCTGTATAAAGATTAAAAGATTTAATCTTTGCTGGATTTCTGTAGGTAGTATTTTAATATTGAAATCCTTTTCTTTTCAAGTCACTCATTGGTTGGAGGAATGTGACACGGCTGCTGGTGTTTTCCACGGATGCTGGGTTTCACTTTGCCGGAGATGGGAAACTTGGTGGCATTGTTTTACCAAATGATGGACAGTGTCACCTGGAAAATGATGTGTACACAATGAGCCATTATTACGTAAGTGCTTGGCGCCTTACATATTAGGTGGATTCGGGTTTTTAGAGTATTATGGGTAATGGGCTTGTGGGTTTTTGAGGATTGGGGTTTTGTTATTTTGGTAAGTTGGGCCCTGACCTAATGCGCAGGAAAGCTTTGTTGCTGTTTTGAGGCTGTGGCTTTGTGCCTTCTTCCTTCCGCGTAGCTGGGGGCCTGGCGGCGGTGAAGGGAGCTGCTGACTCCTGGCCCTGCACCCCAGCCCAAAGCTCTGTCTCCTCTCACTCGGCCCATCAAGGGGTGGCAAGTTTGATACTATGTCTAAACACATCATTTGTATAGTTTTAAACTCCTTGTCTTATTTATATATGACTTAAGAAAGTAGGCCTCCTGCCTCTACAGAAGATAAACATTGGCAATTTATTCAAGGTCTGGAAGAAATCTAAACCTTGCCAAATCTTCGTCTTTTTCTTAGTGATAATATAACCTTTAATTATGGCAGTTTTTCAATTTCATTGTTCTGACATTTAATATACATAGGTAATCTTTTAAAAATCTTTCTTATTGAAATTTTTACTCACACATAAAAATAGAAAAGGATTAGAAACCCACTAGACAGCACCCAGTTCAGCAATAATTTGTGTTGTTTCAGGCAATCTTGTGTAAGTAATCCAGATATATCTGCAAATCATTATTTTCAGAAAGTGTTAAAAAACTGGAGTAGATTGAAAAAAAAAACTGGAGTAGACTGGATATAATTACATACTAAATTTTATTACTTAATTTCTTAGGATTATCCTTCTATTGCTCACCTTGTCCAGAAACTAAGCGAAAATAACATTCAGACGATTTTTGCAGTTACTGAAGAATTTCAGCCTGTTTACAAGGTAAATATATACGTGTGAGATCAAAATAGGAACACATTTTTAGATCCTTATTGTTTAGTCATCAGAGGCACAATGATATGTCTGAATTGAAATGTGGGAAAATGTCATCAGATAGAAAGGCTAGATTTTACAAACGTGGTATTATATTGGAAAACTAGTTATTTTTAGGTCTGACTCCTTATTTAGGATATATATATCAAGAAATGGTTTTTAAAAATAAATGAGGAAGCTGTGGTACATATACACCATGGAATATTACTCAGCCATTAAAATGAATTCATTTGAATCAGTTCTAATGAGATAGATGAAACTGGAGCCCATTATACAGAGCAAAGTAAGCCAGAAAGATAAAGACCATTACAGTATACTAACACATATATATGGAATTTAGAAAGATGGTAACGATAACCCTATATGCAAAACAGAAAAAGAGACTCAGATGTATAGAACAGACTTGTGGACTCTGGGAGAAGGCGAGGGTGGGATGTTTCAAGAGAACAGCATCGAAACATGTATTATCTAGGGTGAAACAGATCACCAGCCCAGGTTGGATGCATGAGACAAGTGCTCGGGCCTGGTGCACTGGGAAGACCCAGGGGGATCGGGTGGAGAGGGAGGTGGGAGGGGGGACCAGGATGGGGAATACATGTAAATCCATGGCTAATTCATTTCAATGTATGACAAAAACCACTGCAATGATGTAAAGTAATTAGCCTCCAACTAATAAAAATAAGTGGAAAAAATAAAAATAAAAAAAATTAAAAAAAATAAAAAATAAATAGTAGGTACTTAGTAGATGCTAATTAGTCAAATTTTATAGGTTTTATCTTTTAATTGCAGGAACTGAAAAATTTGATCCCTAAGTCAGCAGTAGGAACATTATCTGCAAATTCCAGCAATGTGATTCAGTTGATCATCGACGCGTACAATGTGAGTGCATTCTAAGTAAGATCTGTCTTGGGCAGTACCCTGTTGAGAATACTTTGCTCAAAAAAAGTAAAACTCCTTTCATACACAATTTAGCAGGCCCCAGAAGACAATGTAAAACTTGTATGTAAAGTTCTGTATATGGAGGAAAAACTCATTCTCTTACAAAAATGTGTTTGCAAGGCAAAATAAAAGGCATGGCGGGGGGTGGATTTCTAAATTCTGTTTGAATGTCATTAAGTAATAAGTCTCCTTTTTGGAAAACAAGTATGAAACAGCTTCCATTTAGATTTATAGGATTACTTGTCTTCTTTATTTCCCTTCATTTTATAGATTCATAGATTTTGATGAATTGTGCCAGAAAAGCTTTTTTTTGCTAATTCTTCTCTTGCAATATTTCTCTGTGCATAGTACATATTTCTCTTGTACATAGTTCTCTGTTCTCAAGTGGTATACACACAGTCACATGTGTATGTACCATAAAATATATATGAATGCATACATGACTTATTAAAGTAAGATTTATAAGATTTTTATCCCATGTGGAAGGAAGTTGAAATTAAAGAGGAATTGTTCATCTCGAGTTTAGTTCCGAGTACTTCAGGGATACTCATTAAGCCTTGGTCAGTAACTGTTTTAAGTCATCGGAGGCCTTTGTAATACAACTGTAACCATCCTGTGCTGCATACACCAGCTCCAGCCCTTCAACAAGTTGAATTTTATTTTCTACCTCATGCCAGGGGTTTCCAAAATGTTTTGGAAAAACCCTACTTAGATTTTTACAGACTTTCTAGATTCTGGTTTTCCCCTGTCACCCCCATAGTCGTTAGCATATTTTAACGTTTTCCTAACTCCATCTGCGGAGTGGTATGACCAGGACCGAACTTGCCGCTGCAGCCTTCTCCATTTGTCCTGCGCCCTCTGCTGTTCTACAGAAGCACTGGCTTGAACCCTCCACTGGGGTTTTCTTTCTTTGAGGGAGTGGGGCTGGCCTGCAGTGGCCCCTAAGCAGATTTGTCCCAGCCTCTGTAGCAGACTGTTAACCTTTGTCCTCGGCGAGCTGAGGCTTCCCTGGTGGCTCAGGCAGTAAGGAATCCGCCCGCAGTGCACGAGACCCCAGTTTGATCCCTGAGTTGGAAAGATCCCCTAGAGAAGGGAATGGTGGCCCACTCCAGTATTCTTGCCTGGAGAAATCTATGGACAGAGGAGCCTTCTGGGCTGTAGACCATGGGGCTACAAAGAGACATGACTGAGCGACTAACACTAGTGAGCTAGCAGTGGCAGGGCAGAGGAGAGTGTGTTGCCAGTGGGGAAAGAAAGTGTTCTGAATTCTTAGAACTCTTCATAATTAATATTAGGCCTCTCTGCTGTGTCATTAAAATTTTAACCAGAACACTCTTCAGTCATGTACGTTATTTCGAATAATTGGTTGTTACTTATTTGAGCCCATTTCTCTGGGTTTTGGGTTTTCTAGTCACTCAAGATTAGGCTTCCAATATTTAAATAATACTGTTTCCTTAACAGCTCATTTTATCTATGGAATTTATGAATTCAGCTTATTTTACAGTATCATTTGTTTGCCTTTTCATCTTATTTCATTAGTCTTTCTTTTAGTCCCTTTCTTCAGAAGTCATTTTGGAAAACAGCAAATTACCGGAAGGAGTAACAATAAATTACAAGTCTTACTGCAAGAACGGGGTGAATGGAACAGGGGAAAATGGGAGAAAATGCTCTAATATTTCCATTGGGGATGAGGTATGTTCTGTAAACATTTTTCTGAAGTAAAAGAAAAAGCTTACTTGTTTATGAGCAATCTAGCTTATAATATGAGAAACAGTTAAATATAACTTGAGTAGCTTTTTGAAGAATTTTTAGTAGATTTAAATTGCTTAGATTTTAACTTATCTTGTTTTCCTTTTAAGGTTCAATTTGAAATTAGCATAACTGCAAATAAATGTCCAAATAAGAACTCTGAAACCATTAAAATTAAGCCTCTGGGCTTCACTGAGGAAGTGGAGATTATCCTTCAGTTCATCTGTGAATGCGAGTGCCAGGGTGAAGGTATCCCAGGAAGCCCCAAGTGCCACGACGGCAACGGGACCTTCGAGTGTGGGGCCTGCAGGTGAGCTGGCTGCACACACTGTGCGGGGCATGGCAGCCGGGACGGCTGGAGGCCGGTCTGTCTGAGCGTCCCAGAAAGTCTCTGTGGGGGCCGATAAATTATTCTTCCAGCTACTGTGGCTCACCACAAGATCAGTTTGATCATCTTGTGTGTGTGTTCTTTATAGAAAGCTCTTCTCTGCCTTTTTTTCCTTAGGCAGACTACCTTTTATTCTAAAATAAAAGCTTTTGTAGCCATCCAAGATGTTACTTAACAAAAGTTTATGGTAGCATTTGGGTTTTTCTCTCATGATAGCAATCTGAACTCTCTAGAGCTCAGTAAGCTTATAGAAAATAATAAGCGATTTTATATGGGAACTGGAATTAGGAATTAATAAAGGATGTTCAGCTTGTTATTACATGTACTTCTGCATTGTTGGAATAATTTTTTAAAAATTCATGTATTTGTAAAATTAAGCACTATTTTCAGAACATAGAATCTACTGTTCTACTAACAGAACTTAAGTCAAATTATTTTTAATTTTTATACTGTAAATCTTCCTGTTTCATCTTTCTCCTATTTTTTTTAGAACAGGAGAGAAAACTATTTTGATCCAACTGTCAGCTCCCAAATGACTTAGGCTTTGAAGGGTTTTTAATCATGAGGAAAATTAATGACTGTATTTTGCCATCATTTGCTTCTAAATAACAAAATGTTACATTTTTTATTTTCCATGTCATATCCTGACTGAGTTGTGTAGATACATTTTTAGTAAAATATTATTTATCTGAAAGATCTTGAAAATGTTTTGCCTTTTTGTGTATTTACCATATACAATGTGTATAAGCACTAAGTGTTTTAAAAAGTGTCTGAAAAGTCTGAATCCTTAGGATGAATTTATTTTTAAACATTATGGTAAATGATACATTTAGTATGGTTTTCAACTTCATGTACTTTTTGGGTTGTGTGTTTATCAGTTCAGTCCTTCAGTTGTGTGTTTTTATACTTTTTAGTTTAAAAATTGGGTATAAACTTTTAGTATAAAAATTGGGCAAATAATAGCAAATGTAATATACAGTATATCCTTTGAAAACATACCACACTCTTTAAAAATAAGTTTATCCTTTGTTTCCAAATGTTGTGTTCACCTGTTCATTGCTAGATTGTATTTTCATCTTGATCAGAATGGTTACTTTCCTGAAGAGGAATTTTTCCCTAGGCCCCTGTGTAGATTCTGTATGGACTTGAATGGCTGTGTGTGTGTGTACACATGCACATATGTACACTTCTGTGACACATGGCACAAACACTCTCATAAAATTGTAGTCTGAAGATAATGTTTATCATTTTATTTCCTCTTTCTTACCACTTTGTTACCTTCAATTATTTTTATTTTATGTGACTGAAATATTGGACTCTTTGTTTAGGTGCAACGAGGGACGTGTTGGGAGACACTGTGAATGTAGCACAGATGAGGTGAACAGTGAAGACATGGACGCTTACTGCAGGAAAGAAAACAGTTCAGAAATCTGTAGCAACAATGGAGAGTGTGTCTGTGGACAGTGTGTGTGTAGGAAGAGGGACAATACAAATGAAATTTATTCTGGCAAATTCTGCGAGTGTGACAATTTCAACTGTGATAGATCCAATGGCTTAATATGTGGAGGTGAGAATGGGCCTGAAAGTGGTTATAAAATGTGGTCCTATCTAATAAAGTAAAACATGTTGCGAGTTTGCTTAGTGAATAAATAGAAAAGGGGCAGCATTGAGGGTCACTCCATCCCGTGGATACTTCCTTAAATATTATTGTTTTCACTTTTCAGTGCTGTGATTTTATATTGTTACCACTGTTGTGAGATGTGAGATTTTTAATTGCAGGGAATGGTGTTTGCAAGTGTCGAGTGTGTGAGTGCAACCCAAACTACACCGGTAGTGCCTGTGACTGTTCTCTGGATACCACTTCCTGCCTGGCCGTAAATGGACAGATCTGCAATGGCCGCGGTGTCTGCGAGTGTGGTGCCTGTAAGTGTACAGACCCCAAGTTCCAAGGACCAACCTGTGAGATGTGTCAGACCTGCCTTGGAGTCTGTGCTGAGCATAAGTAAGTATTTCTGAGTTGGCTTGAAATAGGTGATTGCTCATTGTCTGTTCACCTGTGTATGATCACATGGTACATAGAACAGTGCTAATCTAGGCCACACTGTAAATAAAGTATGTCACATTGAGGCCCACTTTTTAAATCTAAAAATTCTCAATAGTAGTGTTTGCCACATGATAGTGAATTGTATCCTATGAGTGTGGTGGTACCATTATTTCAACCTGAATTTGGTATTTAATTGAATCCATGTGGTAACCTTTGTTAAATTAATATTACCAATTGCTAATTTATTTACTGCCTTTTGACTAAATAAATGGAAGGTTTTGTCCCTTGTAGAAAGAACCGTAATCCTAGCAACACATTTCAAAAGTTATTTTGGCTTTATATTGTATATTTCAGATCTGATAGGGCTAGTTTTATCTTACTACTCATTTCTTTTGGAGGATTTTAGTTTGAGCTGTAATAAATCTATAATTTTACTTAGGAAGCTAGCATCTTTATGTTTAGTTTTCCCACCAAGAAATGTCATGTGTTTCTTCATTTATTCATATCTTCTTTTCTCTCTCTTGGCCTAATTTGGTCAAATTTTGAGTCTAGCCCACAAAATCATCTTTAAGCAAATATTATTATAAATAATAAATATAATCATTTGCATTTTAACAGAGAATGTGTTCAGTGCCGAGCCTTCAATAAAGGAGAAAAGAAAGACACATGTGCTCAGGAATGTTCACATTTCAACATTACCAAGGTTGAAAATCGGGACAAATTGCCCCAGCCAGGCCAGGTGGATCCCTTGTCCCACTGTAAGGAGAAGGACGTTGACGACTGCTGGTTCTACTTCACATATTCAGTGAATGGGAACAATGAGGCCACTGTTCATGTTGTAGAGACTCCAGGTAGAAATCTGATCATTTCAAAGTTTTTTGCATCTTCTTTTATGTCTTTCTGCTGCTTAGAGCTTTTGGCAGTTCCCCTCGATCCCTGGGTTGGGAGGATCCCCTGGAGAAGGGAAAGGCTACCCACTCCAGTATTCTGGCCTGGAGAGTTCCATGGACAGTCCATGGGTCGTAAAGAGTCAGACACGACTGAGTGACTTTCACTCACTCACATCTAGGAACAGCTTCCAGCTACTTTACATGACTACTTTACATTCAAGTTGGGACATTTTAAATCTCTTCAAGCTTAAAACAGTATTTAATTAGCTATAAGAAATAAGGGAAAGAGAAAGCAAATTTTATGTTACAAAGTGTTTGAAGAGTAAGTGCAGTAACGCATATAAAGCCCTCAGCACAGTGCCTGATAGCAGGTACTCGGGAACAGCATTACTGATGATATTTTTAATAGCAGCTTGATTTAGGCTTGGACACTGGGAAAGATAATTTGTTATGGCATGAATTTGTTCTGCTTTTCAAGGGATGAATCATTTTTATCTTTGTTTTTTTTTCCCTGGGAACTTTTAATACATTCTTTGGAATCTTCTACATTTGTGATTAAGTTATTATTGGAATGTAGTTTTCATTTCTCTAGGATAAATATTAGGAATTGGGGAGAGGGCATATCTTGAACTTCAGAAGAAACAGCCAAACTTTTTTAAAGCCTCTGTTATTATTTTGCATTTTCAGGTGTGTGTATTTCAAATACTGTTTTTTGAAGACCAGAACATTAAATTTTACCAAGTTTTTCTTTTGTAGATCTTGCTTCTTACTATCTTAGAACTCTCTGCATAACTCAACTTCATAAGTATTTTTCTCCTGTGTTTTCTTCTAAAAGTTTTGGTTTCTGGCTTTGCACTTAGGTCCATAACGTATTTTGGGCTGCTCTCTGTATCTGGAGTGGAGGACTAGTTTTTTGTAGGTGGATTTCCAGCAGTTCTTGTACCATTTCTTGAAAAGGCTGACCTTTGTCCACTTTGTGAGAAAATAAGATGACCTTAATGTGTGTGGGCCTATTTCTGACTTTTGATTCTGTTCCATTAATCTAGGCATCTGTCCCTTAGCCAATATCACACTGTCTCAATTACTGTTGCTTCACGGCTAGTTGTGAAATCTGGTAATGTAAATTGTCCAACTTTGTTCTTTCCTGAAAGTGTTTTTGAAACACTTTCCTAGTTCTCCTACTTATTTGTAAATTTTAGAATTCACTTGCTTGATATCCACACATGTCCTGCCAGGATTTTGATTGGGATAATATTGAGTTTATAGATCAAATTGGGAGAGGATTGACATCTAATCAATGAACATACATAAACTCTCTTGATTTATTCAGGTCTTTGACTTTTTTTAAAAATCAGTGTTCAGTAATTTTTAGCATATAAATCTTAAACATATCTTATTAGGTTTATACATAGGTATTTCATGATTTCGGTGCTATTGTAGATAATACTATTTTCTAAGGTTCAGTTTCTAATATATAGAAATCAGCTTTGGTATAATTCATAGAAATACATGATGTTTATTTATTGATCATGTACCTTATGATCTTGTAAACTTATCTGTTACTTCTAGTATCTTTTTTTATAGGTTCTTTTGGATAATGTGCCCCAAGATACTTATCTTGGAGTTTCAATTCCTGTGTCTTTTGTGGGACTGCATAGCTCTCTGTAGTTTTGGCTGCACTTTCACAGGCTAACCCCCTTGTGTGCGTATCCTTTGCTTTTTACTTTACAGAGTGCCCCACTGGTCCAGACATTATTCCAATTGTAGCAGGTGTGGTTGCTGGAATTGTTCTTATTGGCCTTGCATTGCTGCTGATTTGGAAGCTTTTAATGATCATTCATGACAGAAGGGAATTTGCCAAATTTGAAAAGGAAAAAATGAATGCCAAATGGGACACGGTAAGTTGGAAAACATCTAAAATGGAAGGTGTTTCATAAAGTAAATGTAACGCTTCTAAGACTTGTTTATCAGCTCTAAAGCTGATTACTAAAGTCCTTTAAATATCTGAGTTTCCCCCCAGGATTTATTATTCAGGAAGCTTGCATTCAGTGAAAGACAGAAAACATCTTAAATACATTCCATTAAAAGAAAACTGTTGTAAGAATGTTTCTTCAGGTTACTGTGGTATTTTTATTTTCTTAATAATTTTAATCTGCTCTTTTGCCTTTTCTTCTTATATAAAATAGAATCCTGGGGACTTCCCTGGTGGTGCAGTGGTTAAGACTCATTTCTAATAGAAGGGGTGTGGGTTCAATCCCTGGTTGGGGAACTTAGATCCCACATACTTGGCATGACCAAAAAAATTAAAAACAAAACCCTAAATAACTGCAGACTATTCAGTGGAAAGCTGCTGCTTTTTTTTAAAAAAAATAATTCAACAAAGAACCTTAAGTAGAAATCAGCCACTCAGAAGACTACATGCTGTGTAATTCCATTTATGTAACAGTCTAGAAAAGGCAGACCTATGATAGGGACTAAGCCTGTGGTCTCTAAATTACCCAGATGGGTGTCTTTATACATTTGAGAATTCATGAAACTGTGTATTTTAAAAGGGTATTTTTACTCTGCAAATTACAACTCAGTAACCTTGTTTTATACAAAACCTAAAAGCCGTAAGTGATGAAAATGTATGTCAGCATTAGTGCTTTGAAACGGGTTGGAGGCTGGTGTGGCCAAACATTGGCCGTCTTGTATTCATCTTTTGATACAAGAAGGCAGTGACAATATTCAGTATTTTTCAGGTGTAAATGAACTTTAGTCATTTGCATTTTACAACAGTTTGCTTGGATTTTAAAAAAATAATTTTGGAAGCGTAAAAATAGTAAAAATTCTCTTTTATAAAAGTGTTTAAACACTCATTATACATGTCAGTTTTTTTCTGATGAAATCATTAGAAACTATTTCTTTTACTTTAGCAAGAAAATCCGATTTACAAGAGTCCTATTAATAATTTCAAGAATCCAAACTATGGACGTAAAGCTGGTCTCTAAATTGCCGTTCGTATTTTCTTTCATTTTCTGTCTTTGCATGTCTTTACTGCACTGCGTGTCTTTTATCACTACTGCTTTTTTTTTTTTCCTCTCCAAAGTCTGGCTTTATTTATATGGCTATACTATGGCTTTTCTTTCTGTGTGTTAATAGTATTTAGAAGGGCTTTGGATTAAGCTTTATGGTATAGAAGCAGCAACTGTGTTGTAGTGAAAAGAACGTGTATTGTGATCAGACTGACCTGGGTCGAGTCCCATTAGGTAGAGTGGCACTGGGTCACTTCACTTCCCAGAGCTTTAACAGGGAGTCAGTAACTATACCGTGTTGTTTTTGGCTAATGACTACAGTATTTGATAGCAGCCTGTCAGTTATAATCCTCACTAGAGTCCCTTGCTTTAGGTGGTATTATCATCCTTGTATGGTAACATCCTTACATCATATTATATATAACATCCTTATATATAACATATTATTATTTGTAAGTTTTAGAGTGAAAAGTGAACATGAAATTTAAATTTCATGTAGAGAAAAACACTACTAGAGTTTTAAATAAAAACTTTGCTGAAAATTTCATAGTGGTAATAAAGCTTGGTTAACCTATTCTCTAAGTTAAGGGAAAGTTATTTTGGCCAGTGTATGCTCTACCTGGGTGACAAATGTATCATTTTCTCTTTTATCAACACTGGACAGGCTTTTCCCTTATAACTGAATTTTCATGAAGTGTTTCCAGCATGTTTTTAATATAATTATGTAAGCCCCTAATACTCTGATAAAAAGGTTGTGATTAGAACCAATTCTCCTGACTGGTGATCCTGAACTCTTTCCTTTCCTTTATTCTTATTTCACATATGAGAAGACTGAGGCACAGAAGAGTTCGGTAACTTGACCAAGTTCACAAGACTAGTTAGTGGAAAAGCTGAGATTCAAACCCAGGCCACTGGGCTCCAGGGTCTAGGTTCTTAACCACTGGATTGAACTGGTAGCAATCACATGTCTTCAGGAGACACTGTTACCTGGTTAGGTGGAGGGAGATCGCTATAGGAAATGACAGTCTTTGCTATTTTCTGGTAGCTTAAGAATGTTAGTGCTACTGTGACACTATTGAATGTGGCAGTCACTGTTACACCCAGAAACCCATCAATGCAGGTTTGTTTATTTACTCTGATGAATGAGCATATACTTATGCGGTAAGATTTTAAAGTACAGGAATGTTTCATATTTTTAAGAGGGACAGGGAGTACTGATAACATTAGAAACCATTATGTGTCTGAGTTTTTCTTATTTCTAAGCAGCTCTTAAGACTTTTGAAATGGCAGAGTTAAATTTGATGGCAGAAAATTGTCAGATTCATCTTGTGTAGTCTGGTACATTTTCTTAGTAGCATGAGACTTAGTATTCTTTTCTTCCTCACTTAGAGCTTTACAGAAAGAATGTCATTTTTAGAAGGAAACTAATTTGCTGGGTTTTTTTTCCTTTCCTCTCTCTGTCATAATCAGATATTGACATTTTATATGGATACTTACATGAAAAAATTTCTGCATCTCCTATTGAAAGGTGAAATTTTTACCTTGCCATATGTTAAATTGTATTTTGAAGGAAACTATCAGTAACAGTGAAACTTAATGTTTTTATTGTTAAGTCAATTTTTGGTACACTATTACTTCAGCCAAAATAAGCATTTTGGATAATTCAAGATGTGAAAGTTTTGTGAAAAATTTTTATTTGTTAGTGAAATTCAGGAAAATTAATGGCTACTGGTTATTCTGAGATGTTTTCTCAAGAAAAACGTAAGTAGAAATACAGATATTAATGAATGAGCATTAAGAAATTAAATCATGGCTTACAAAGCACTTTTCCAGTATGGGACCCAAGGTTGCTGGTCAGTTATGTCATTAACATATTTCAGATAAATAGGCAGGCAGTCTAATTACTTCAGCACATAAGACCATTCATGTAGGTACATTTAAAAAAAATAAAATCATCAACTTTGTTAAAGCTCTTCATATATAAACACATTAAATGTGGGCTGCTAATCTCCCACAGTTGTGCACTGCATTTCTAATATGCAACAGAAATGATGCTGTAGCCACATCAGCCCTTCCAGAGTGAGCACAGATGACATTTACTGAGAACAGAGGACTTCCCTGCTGAATGTAATCCTGTTCCTCTTGATTTAAACAGGCTTTTGCTTTTTGTTGGGGTGGGGAAGGGTTGCACTCTGAACGATGGGAACTAATATGCATTATTTTAGCTTACCTCCATTTAAGATGATGCCCAGCGCAGATGGTTTAATCTCTTACCTCTAACCTTGCATGTTAAAATTTTGTTTGGATGGACTTTGAAATAATAATATATATGAAATAATAAATATAAATGTGTAAGGCAGTGTTTTCTCCAGAGGTAAGTTCTGCGATATAAATTGTACTTTGGTTTCATCTATAACTTAGCCATTTCTTTTCCTTCTCCATGTTTTATTACCTTACAGTTTTTAAGTATTAACTATTAGATTTATCTAATGCATTAAAGAAACTTAATGGTAATTTATTTTCCTAGCATATTTGAAAAACAAATAGGCAGTTCTAGCCTTGCATGATAGGAAAGTGGAAATAGACTCACTTATTTGTACTGGTTATTCATTAGAAATGTAGTTGCTAGGATCCATATGCCAGTCTCCATTATGAAATGTCTGCCATTTGGGATCCAGTTGGGATGAGAGCTCAGAATTTCACATCTGATGTGATTTTTGTCATCCAGAGTATATAATATTTATCTCTGAGGGATCCTGAGTTCTTCTGTGTTTCAGAAATGACTGGGCAGGTTGTGCTTTGTGGAGTGGAGTGAAGGCACAGTGTCAGGTTCCAGACTAACTGCCGAACTGAAGTCAGAGTGGTTTATTTGGTATTTCTCAAGTCCCAGCCTTTATATGTTTTACTTTCCCTCAATGAATTCTTACTCTTTTTTAAAGATGGCATCATCTGCTTCCCCTTTCCCACTCAGAACATACATATGTACCCTTAAAAACTCAACCATATAGATTTCTAACTCTGCATGTGTATATACTTCTGTATACCTTTCAATGTTTTATCTGTAGTCAGTTTCATTTTGACAATATCCTTAATCTCAGTCAATCCCTTTTTTCTTATGCTGTTCCCATTTTATGTATGAATTCTCTTGTGTACTGTGTGAGCGTTCTTTATCTTCATGTTTGTCATCCACCAAGCTATGCCCTTCTAGGAGGCAGAAATTGTGGCAATGAAAGCTATATCCAAATGTAACCTGAAGTAAAGTGTGGATAAAATTTAAAAGCAAAAATTACTCTTTAGGTGCTTTATATAAATATTTTAAAAATAACCTCAAATTGTTCTATAGTAAAATATGAAACTAAATAGCATTTAAAAAATTTAAAAATTTATTTGATTTGTACTCATGTATTTTCTCTGAGATAGGAATATTTGCCCATATTTCTCATTTGATTTTCAAGCCTATCTTCAGTTTTAAAGAATAGAGAAAGAATGCTATGGAAGATATTAAAATGTATAATTAGAATGAGAATTTTTAAAGAAAATGATATGTTTTAAAACATCACTGTCAGTGAAGTTATGACTCTTGAAAGATCTCTCATGTTTATGGCTTGGAATCATTTAACACTTCAGTAAAATATAGTATCAAAGATAAAATGTTTTATCAGCATATTGAAGAATAGCAGTTATTTCATGAAGAACGGTAACTATGTTTGTCTGAGCACATTTGGCGCTGTGCCCACTTGTGGCAGTCTTACCTCAGAATCTCCACCCTGAGTGGCAGAGCCTCAGAAGAGCACAGGCAAGAAAGCCAAGCCGTCTGTTCATTGTCAAGCGCCTTTGTGCACAGTGAGGATTAAGAATCAGGCAGCTGATGGCAGAAGAGTTTGTTAAAAACTAGTTTCAAGATAGTATTCAAAACTAGTTTAAAAAAGAGAAGCCATTCACAGCAGATCACCAGTGGAGGAAGGACTTTTCAGAAAGTAAAAGTGCCTTTTCAAAGGCACCTTTAGCCTTGTGGGGCAAAGCTTTCATTTTTCATTTTTCGTAAGCTTTTGATATCTGGACAGATCAAATGGAAATGACTTTTGAAAATGGTCTTTAACTTTATAAAATGATATTAAAATTAGATGCCTTTAGTAGAGTAACTGATAATTTTTTTTCTTTTTTTAGGGTGAAAATCCTATTTACAAGAGTGCTGTGACAACTGTTGTTAATCCGAAGTACGAGGGGAAATGAGCACTGCCTGTGTGTACCCACAGCGCTGAATGCAAAGTAGTAATTCCACAGTCATAGTAAGGTAGCTTCAGGGCAGTGTCACCATGGTTCTCTCATGGGCAGGTTCTGAACATGTACAGTATGTATAATTTGAAAATTTTTTTATTATTTTGAAAATAATGTTATAACCAATGCCAGGGACTGACAAAAGACTTGCGACAGGATGGTTATCCTTGTCATCTAAGGTCACAATGTGCCTTTTTGACCTTTTCTCCTGGACTAGTGCATCCAGGTCTTACTGGATTAAGCAGTATTTCTAGAGTGATTGAAAGGCAGTAGTTAATGAGGATGATATGAGACTTTGTTAATCAAGTGTTAAAACTGATTTCTAGCTTTGCAGACATGTCATTTTTCAGTTACACAGAATCCAAAGTAAATGTCCTCCTAGCTAGTTTAGAATCATTTTAAATGTATTATTTTGCTATTTGCCTGTTAGACATGACTGATGACATACCTGAAAGATGAGTATGTTAGGAGTTACAGGTGTAAAATAATGAAATATTTGATCTGCAGAGGCCATGGGGAAAGTCAGAGCTAGGAAGGGAAAACATAGCTTTAAAACCTATGTGCCATTTTAAGAGTTACTTAATCTTGGTAACTTTTATGCCTTCTCTTTGTAAATTCAAGTCTTGGATAAAAGAATTGGGAAATTTTCTGCAAAAAAAAAAGTCCTTGATTTAGCATTATCTACATAAAAGCCTTAATTTACATAGTATTTGCTGAATTGGGACCTCTGGGTGAATTTTATTTTATTCATTTTCTTTTTAAAGCCTGGTGCTTTTTATCACCTCTTCTAATCATTTAATGTATTTGTTTGCAATTTGGGGTAAGACTTTTTTAAAATCAGTACTTTTTCATTGATGTTTTAGCTGTACATTTTGCCTTTTTATTGAACATGTGAAGTTGTACTGTGGCTCATTCAATAGCTATCACTTAAGCATTTCTTACTTTAACTTAGTGCTATAACAGACCACTGTATATTTACTTCTCACTGTTTGAATTTCCTGTTTTGTTTCATACTATTCACATTCTTATTTTAAGTGCCTTTTAATTTTAACAGTTCACTTTTTACAATGCTGTTTAGTGAAGTTATTTATTAAATAAAGATGCTTAAAATATTTAAATCAGATGTTTGGGCTCTGTATATTTTGTTAGTTTGTATACGTGACGTTTTTATAGCTTAAAGAGGCTGACAAAAAAAATTTCTGGTATTTTACTTATGCCAAAAGACAGAAGGAAGGAAGGTAGATAGAGTAAAATAAGATTTCAGTCTATTTTTTGGCTCTCCAAATACTGGACAAATCTGCTTCTGTTTCATTCCTACATTAAGCAGAATTAACTCTTTAAGAACATAATCTTAGAGCTGTTGACTTGAAGCTGGAAACTATATCATTTTACTTAAGATTGAGACAGGAAATTGTTACTCTTCTGTTAAGGAGTTTTTTAAATTTTCATTTGTCTTTGATTTATTTATGTTATAAAGTATGTGTATCCATAAAAAGTACTTGTGTGAAGCTTTTGAAAGAAATAGAGCCCTTGCTGGACCATTGCAAGGGTCAGATGTCGGGGAAAGCACTGTGGTAGAAGTCCCAGCATATTTGCAGTGCCCCTCCTGGTTTTAAAAATGGGTATCATTTTTACCTCTCCCATTTAAATGTATTTCCTAGCTTAGAGTAAATCATCTTTCAGTTGAGGATTATACCTCTTTATGAGAAAAAGGACCATCCATTTCACCTTCATTTTCCATTCCTACCACCTACACTGCTGTGTGGTTCAACTCATTTCCTTACACCCACAGTATAACTGAATTTGTATTTTTTTGCTCCACAAGTTTGCTTTTTTTAATGAGATTTTTAAAAATAATATAGGAACATAGTCTATGTTCTATAATACATTATTTTTCTCCTGACACATGTTTTTATAGTTAGATTATAAGCCAATCATCCCAACCCTGTGCATATATTAAGGAGAAAACTCTTAATTTGAAAAGATACTTAGACATACATGTACACAGTGGAATACCACTCAAAGAATGAAATAATGCCATTTGTAGCAATATGGATGGACCTAGACATTATCATACTAAGTCAGAGACAAATATCCTATGATATTACTTATATGTGCATTATAAAAATAGTGATACAAATAACCTTATTTACAAAAGACAAATAGACTCAGACATAGAAAACAAACTTATGGTTACCAAAAGGGATTGGGGCAGGGAGATAAATTAGGAGTTTGGGATGAACCTATACACACTATTATATAGTAAACTATAGTAGAATAGGTAAACATCAAGGACTTCTGTATAGCACAGGGAACTAGACTCAATATCTTGTACTAACCTAAAATGGAAAAGAATAAATATGTAAAACACTTGGCTGTGTAACTGAAGCTAAGACATTGTACATTGATATCAATTTAAAGATACCTAGAAAGGAAACAGGAAAATAAGGGAATCAAAGTATGTGTATATATAAAAAAAAAAAACCCACCAATTAAGACAGGAAAGAGGAACAAAAATGATGTAAGTCAAATAAAAAACAGTAATTACTTTAAATATAAACAGTTTAAATGTACCAATCAAAAGCTATAGATTAGCTGAATGGCGAGAAAAAAAAAATTCAACTGTATGTTGTGTATGAGACTTGCTTTTGATTCAGGACACATGCTGCAAGTAAAAGAATGGAAAGAAAGGGCAACCAAAAAAGAACAAGAGTGGCCATACTCACGTCAGACAAACTAGACTCGAAACATTATGTAGAGATAAGGTCCAGATGATACAGCAGTTGTAAGTATGTGCTTAGTTGTTTAGTCGTGTCCTACTCTTTGTGACCCCATGGGCTGTAGCCTGCAGGCTCCTATGTCCACGGGGGTCCTCCAGGCAAGAATACTGGATCTTCCCAACCCAGGGATTGAACCCAGGTCTCCGGTACTGCAGACGGATTGTTTCCTGTCTAAGCCACCAGGGAAGCCCAAGAATGCTGGAGTGGGCAGCCTCTCCTTTTCTCCAGGGGATCTTCTGGACCCAGGAATCGAACCAGAGTCTCCTGCATTGCAGGTGGCTTTTTTATCAGCTGCGCTACCAGGGAAGCCCAGTTATAAGTAAACAGTTACCTAACACAGTGTATACATATATTTCACAGTATATACATAAAACATTATGTTGTATACCTTAAATGTATTGAAGTTTTACCAGTTATATTTTGATACGATAGAGAATATAGAAAACCAATAGAAAAAAATGAAACTAAAAGCTGGTTTTCTCTCAACAAAGTTGACAAACTCTAAGGAAAAAAATGAATGACTCAAAAGTAGATATTTCAACATAAAACACATTAGTATAGAATTAAATGACTCAATTATCAGAGGGCCTGATATAGGGGATTTATTGGGGGTGGGCTCTGTATTGGTTACTTTGTATTGGAACAGTGCTCTCAGGTGAGTTGTTTATCACCTTCAGGAACTGTTCAGCCCTGGGAAGGTCCCAGACGTCAATGCATCAAAAATATAGAAAATAAAAAGGCATGATAAATATACTTCTGTAATACCATCATCTTGTAAGGTACATTTGTCCTAATTAATGAGCCAATATTGGCTCATTAACCAAATTATTTATTAATTAAATAATAAATTAACCAAATTTATTAACCAAATTCATCCTATATGGCCTGAGTCTTCCAAACTCATTATGACTATATTTGGAAATTGTGCATTTATGGAAATAACTAAGGTTAAATGATGTCATACAGATAGGGCCTTGATAAGATTAGTGTCCGCATTACAAGAGGAGGAGAGACCAGAGCTCTCTTGCGCTTTGTGCACATATGCTAAGGAAAGGCCATGTGAGAAGACTGTATGCAAGAGAGCTCTCAATAGGAGAAAAGAGCCAGGGGGAAATGTATCTACAGACAAATCAGAAAGATCCTTTTTTTGAAGATGAAGGAAAGGGCCACAAGTGGAGGGAATGTGACCAGCACATGGAAGCCCAAAAAGGCAAAGGAATGGATTCTCTGGTAACTGCAGAAGGGAACACAGGACCACTGACCCCTGATTTTTAGTCTAGTGCAACCTGTGTTGTGCTTTTAGTCTGCCACACGTAGGAGAATAAATTTGTGTTAAGCTGATAACTTGTGATAATTTGTTACAGCAACTGCTGTTCAGTCGTGTCAGACTCTGCGACCCCATGGACTGCCCCATGCCAGGCCTCTCTGTCCCTCACCATCTCCCAGAGTTTGCTAAAGTTTATGTTCATATTGGTGATGCCATCCAACCCATCTCATTCTCTCTCACTTGCTTCTCTCGCCCTCAGTCTTTCCCAGCATCAGGGTCTTTGCCAGTGTGTCAGCTGTTCACATGAGGTGGCCAAATTACTGGAGCTTCAGTATCAGTCCTTCCAGTGAGTATTCAGGGTTGATTTCTTTTAGGATGGACTGTTTGATCTCCCTGCTGTCCAAGGGACTCTCAAGAGTCTTCTCCAGTCTCAAAAGCATCAGTTCTTCAGCACTCTGCCTTCTTTATGGTCCAACTCTCACATCTGTACATGACTACTGGAAAGACCACAGCTTTGACTGTACAGCCCTTTGTCAGCAAAGTAATGTTTTTGCTTTTTAATACACTGTCTAGGTTTGTCACAAACAGAACACAAATATAGTGGGAAAGGCCAAATAGAGGCCTCTGAACCTACTTCAGACCCATCTAAGCCAGTAAATTTGAAAAACATCTATGAGAAACAGCAGAAATAAATGCAGACTAATGACTCAAAGGACACAGGCATGGTGGACTCCATCATGTTTAATTTGCTGATCTGCCCCCTCTGGACTCAACTAGTAGGCACATAGATAGATGCTAGTAGAGAGGTGGTAGAAGTGCTGGAGCAGATTTTCATGGCCTCTGGTATATGCCAGGTGTCCACTGAGCCACTATATGTGTTCTTTTTCATTTTTACCAGAAAAGATCAT